AAGGCACCTGAAACAAAATGACTTGGAAAGGCTAAAATAAAGGGATGGAAAGGAACACCAGGCAAACGGAAACAATAAAAGTAGGGCTTCTAGTCACAATATCGAGCAAAGTGCAATGCAAGCCAAAATGCATTAAACATGATAAAGGACACTTTTTAAATTGTGAAAGCCAATAATTACAATAAGCCTACAACAGTTTTGATTATCTATGTACCAAATTACACAACAGCCGCATGTTTACAGCAAAACCTAGAAGATGCCAAGAAACATAAATAAAAAATTAATAAGAAAAAATACTACTGTCAATAAAAAGACTTACAAAGTGGACCAAAAATAAGTAACTATGCAGAAAGTCTAAATAATGTAACCAGTAAGTGAATAGCATGGGTATCTGTTGAAACTTACACCTTCATTATAAGGAATAAACTTTCTCTTCAAGCACAAATGAAAAAGTCATATATTAACCTATATATAGGATAACCTATACATAGGTTATCAAGGAAGTATCAGTAAGTTCCATAAAGTGACATAAACAACACTCTGCAGTAAAACTAGAAATGTCTCAAATATCAAATAACAAATGATCACCCCCAGGAGGAAAAATAAACTATTAAAAGAAATCTTCAGTGAATGAGCAAATGGAAAATAAAATGAATTTCTAAATGTCGATAATTGACTATTACATATTATAATCTATAAATTTAAAGCAGTGATCAAAGGAATAGTTATAGTCTTAAATAATTTTTAGCAATAAAAATAAAATAATTACATGAAGAAACTAAACTCTCAGATCAAAAAGCTAAGTAAATCAAAACAAATAAGGAAGAAAATCAACATAAAAATAGAGATCAATTAACTATATAGAAAAACAATGAACCTAATTATAAATCAAAATCCTACTTATTTTGATAAAGCTAAATAAATAAAGTACTAGCTCACATCATAACGGGGGGGGAGGATGGAGAAATCACACATTTACAAAGTAAGAAAGGATGAGGAATAATAAATATCCACCAAAACAGAAAAGCAACAAACAAACCCATATATACATGAGACCATTCTGTAGACTTCTACAAAAAATAAATGTGAGAACCCGTGAAATAAGACTGTTTCCTTAGGAAACACAATTTACCCCAATCAACCCCATTAGAGTCAGGAAGTTTTAAAACAGCAATATGCACAGAATAAACAGAAAAAGTTACTAAGGAACTATCCTTCAAAAACACCAATCCTACACTGTTTCAGAAGAGAATTCTAACAAACTTATAAAGATGCTTTATAACCGTTTTCTAGAGCACTAAAACTAAAGAAAAACTTCTAATTCTTTTGTGAAAAAAGTTTAACACTGATAAGTACATCCGATGAAAAGAGTATAAAAATCCTACAGCCCAGTATCAATGTGAAAACTACTAACAAAGTCCAACACCATATCCTTACACAAACTGAAGCATACTTTTTGGTACTTTTTATATTGTTGCATATAATATACATTATTATACAAAATGTAGCATACTCTTTTACACTATTGCTCTTTAAAATTTACCATTTATCCTAGAAATCACTGCACATCAGCTTGTAAAGATTTTCTTCATTCTCTTTCAAAGCTGCATAATACCCCATTATGTGTGGGTATATCAAGTTTATTCAACCACTTTCTTGCATTTTTCTTTCTTTTCTTTTTTCAACCACTTTCTTACATATGAGCATTTCAGTTGTTTTAAAAATGTCCAAGTAACAAACATTGCTACAATGAGTAACTTTATGCATGTGTATTATCATATCGTTGCAGGTGAAACTTCAGAGTCAATTTCTACAAAAGGGATTGCTGAGTCAGATGTAAATGCATTTCTGTGTACAGAGAGAAACGAGTAAACAGAGTCATAAAGCAAGCAGAGTGAAGTGTTAACATTTAGGAACTATAGGCAAAGGGTATGTGGGCATTCTTTTACTATTTTACAACATTTTGTAAGTCTCAAATTATTTCAAAATAAAAGGCACTTATATTTTTAAAAAAAGCATGGTAGCGAAAGCTGGCATACTGTGCTAGTTAAATTAAATGTTCAAGCTCTGAAATCAGATTTTGGTTCACGTTCCCCTATGCTGCTTTGTAGCCGTGAGAACTTGGGTAGTGACTTAAGGTCCTATGGCTTCCATTTCCCTTTTGATCCAGTAGGTGAGCTACCATTACAGACCTCACAGAGCTGCTGCAAGAACCAGGCGGTGTCAGTAGAGGACTGGGCTCGACGTCTGGGTCTCAGCAGGTGCTCAGTGAATGTCAGGTTCTATTTGCCCAATCCAGGTCTACGTGCACAAAACCCCTCATATTCACTGAGCCCACCATCTGTGCCTGTCTCTTGCACAAAGTCTCATTCCAAATCCATCTAAAATAATTAATAAATAATAAAATAACTCAGCAAAGTAATGATTAATATGAAGACTGTGCAAAAACTACAAAAGCAGTTGTGGAGAAATGTTAGGAGGGAAAGAAAGAATCGAGAATCACAACTATCTATAAAGACATGCAGACATCTAGACAAATAGCTAATACAAGATGGTGGGTTTATGGGAGTTTTGCCTTTGAAAATGTCTATTACTGTTAAGGCCAAAAGGAGAAAGAAGACTACAAATAAAAGACACTGAGCCTGAAAATAACCTGGTAAATGAACCAGAGTATTTCCTAAAATTATAGCCCAGGGTATTATATTTGTCCTCAGTAGCCAAAAACTGTGGGGCACAAAGAAGAAAAAAAACTGTAAATAAAGAAATAATTTTTATGCATATCTAAGTCTTTTAGATGTCAGCTCCTGGTAACTTTACAGTCTAGTTGACAAAACTCTAAGTAGACCATAACACTTCCCTAGTTCAAAATATCATAACTGTCTCCTACTACTAATAAACACAAAATTTTCACAGCTCTATGTAATGTGGCACCTCCACCTCTCTCTAGCTCCACAGGCCACCTCAGAACCTCTGCACTTCTTTCTTTAGCCTAGAATGTTCTTCCCCTAGGTAACTGATTCAAGTGTTTGCCTAAAAATTACTTCCTCAAAAAGAGGCACATGGGGACTTTATCTAACATAGCACATCCCCTCATCCCACTTTATGTTTCTGCAGAGCACTCGTTACCCAACTTTGTGGTACACATTTTATGCTTGTTCATTGGTTTCTCTGCTGCTAGAATAAAATTCTCATTTGGGTTGGGACTTAGCCTTTTGTTGCAAAAGAATACACTAGTTGAATTAATGATAAATATGAATGAATAAATGCCAGAACCGCCCCCCCCAAAAAAATTCATCATCCTTGGAGCCCCAGCTGCAATGCAACTGGCTAGCCTAGTAGCCCTGGCTGGTCCATCTGGAAAACCTACATGTAGCCTTCCAGTCTTAGATTCAGGGAACCCTCCTCCAGGAAGATTCTGGTTCTCTCTTCCATGGCTAGGTCAGAGGCAGGCAATAAAAGTCCAAGGACACAGGCTGAGTAGAGAACTTCCAAGCTCAAGGTAATCCTTACAGTTAAAGGCTATATGGGGCAAACAAAGAAAGCCTGTAAAGCATTATCTAAAAAATAGATGATTCTTACCCTAGGTTAACGACTGTCTTACTTATTTTTCATTGATTACATGGATTGCCTCACTTAATCTTCCTAAGACCTCTGCACAGTTGGTGTTAATACCAATGTTTGCACCTTACCGATTAAAAGCCTGATGCTTAGGGCAGTGAAAACATTACTCCACATGTCTCAGCCAGTAGAGGCAGGATTTAAAGTGCCATCTTCTGACTCCTGAGCCTGCCTAAACCTTGGGCACACTGCCTTTTGAGGGGCTGCAAATCAATCAAGAAGCAATTACTACAAGCCTGTTGTGAATAAGCATGTTGGAATGAATGTAAAAATACACTTAAATTGGTAGAATAGGACTCAGTTTTATCACTCTGCTATCTCACAAGCTAAAAGAGGATCATTCCCCTTTCCCACGGATTATCTAGTCCTACCTGTTCTCTGCCTCTGAAACCTACCACTTTCATATAGAAACATACAGTCTGATGTGCCCCTGGCCGTAACAACAGAGACCTAAGGCTGTCTTCCTTTTGGTTCCAAAAGGTCTCTAATCCATAACTATTCACAACACGCAATTCTTCCCTCTCCTAGAGAAGAAAACATCAATAATGTAGAAATTTATAATTTTTCTGAAGCTGAACATCTAAATATTGGTCCCATTTTCTCCCCACTCCAATTAGCATCTTTCAGACATATCTTACCTTTTCCCACCTCTGCTTGCATTCTGTTTCTGCTGCAAGAAGTACCCGCCACTGGAAGCCACAGTTTCTTCCCATTTCAAGACAAAATTATCAAGAATCTTTCTGGATAATAACTAACTCCATAATAAAGCCCCAAGTCCTATTTTGCTAATTGATTTCTGTTTGTATTATGTCAACCTCTAAGGTCAAGGACCCATTCTTCTAGTACCGGTAAGTGTATATAACAAAGTTACATATAATGCAGTTTCCAAAAATGGCTATGGAGTGATTAAACCAACCGGATTCTCCTGCGTCTAGATTCGAATGAAACACAACTAATGTCTGCAGTAAAGACGGGGGTGGGAGGGCTCCATTCAAGACCCTCGGGTTTCTTCCCCCAAACGAAAGGCACCGGTCACTTAGAAAACTGCCCGGCAGCGTTCACTGTTACCATCTGCAGGAACCACTACGCTCAGCTTCTCTTTTTTCAACTTTTCATTGACCGCCTTTCCGTCCGGGGTCGGAGGTCCCGGAGCCGCGGGGACGCGCGAGGCAGGGCGGCTCCCAGGGTCTAGGCCGCGGGGACCTAGTCCTCCGCCACCCGGCCCGACCCCGCAGGCCCAGCCGCCGAGGCCCGCGGCCCGCTCGCCCCGCGGCCACCGCACTTCCGGTTACTCGCGGACATTCGGTCAGGCTTCCCGGCGGCAGCAGGCTCCACGGTCGTGGACCGAACGGCCCACCCTCGAGCAAGGAGGGAAAGCAAACCTGGGGCCGACGAGAGCCAGGAGCAGCTCCCTCTGTACGCCGGGACAGGGAGCTGAGACCGGACCGTCCTGGGCGCCTTCACGCTGACCAGGCCGGCGACGCCAGCCTACTCAGCCGGGCCGGAGGCGGCGGCGCAGCCCCGCCCATGAGTCACGTGGTCGCCCGCCCGCGGCGACAGCGCGCCCCGCCCACGCCTCTGCGCCAATGGGGCAGCACCTCGGGAAGGGGCGGGGCCCGGGCGCGTGCGCCCAGGAGCCCAGGGCAGTGGTGGACCCAGCCAGCTCTGTGCCGCGGCCTTGCCCAAGCTGCGGAGTGCCCGGATGTAGAAGTTCGCGGTTTGCGTTGCAGTTTCCGAATCCTGCTCTTTCTTCAAGGCTGTGAGACCGGGACTGGACGCAGGAGTGAAGTCGCGCGGATGGATACCGCCAACCTTGAGAAAAACAGCCGAAGAACCAGGAAGAAATGGAGGATCCCAAAATACTGGATAGGACGAGGGTGTCAACATCCGGCCGTTAGTAAATGCTGTTCTTGCTAAATATTAAAACGCACACCAGTATTTTGTGGGCATAACGGGATGAGCTTGACCGGAACACAGCCAGGTAAGTGTAGCCGACTGCGAAGGAGAAATCAACGTGCAATGAACCAAACAGTGTGCACAAGCCATGTCCGAGCCTCCCTGCTGGGTGACGGAGCTGGGGGGTGAATCCCAATCCCTTTACCTGCTTGCAAGTCAATAAAACCTCCTTGTGACAGCCACGTCTCCTTTCTGAATACCGCACCCCGAGCTGCGCGCCCCCTGAGTGGGCATCGAACCTCAGACGGAGGCACCTCTGTGGGGTTCGGTCGGTCCGCACCCGGCTCGCTCTGGGGTCTCGACCTGACAGGACGGGACTCGCCCTGGGCGAGCCCCTCAGCGCTGACCACGGCTGTGCGGCACCGACCGGCCTCCGCAGTGAAGTCCGGTGGCCACCACAACCTCTGCTCAGACCGTTCAAGAGGAGGAGGTGAGCTGGCCCCAGCGGCCTCAGTAATTGGTGTTTCTATTCCCGTTTGGGGCATAGAGTTGTCAGAAGAATAGTTTCATTTCTGGAGCGCATTTAGGTTCTGAGACCTAACAAACACAAACACAAAGCAAACCCTTTGTCAGGATGCTGACTAAGGTATTTCCGAAGGGGATTTTCAGGGGGATTGAAGGTAGAGAGACCTGAGACAGACAGCCCAGGGCCCTATCTGGTTCGGGATTTCTGGAGGTCACCCCGGGGGCCTGTTCCTGGCCTTTTTGCAGAGGCAGGAGCCTTTGCGTTTGAAGACCTCTTAGGGGAACAAGAACAGAATTCACTGCTGAATGGTGTACCAAACCCATAAGGTTTAGCTCAATCAAAGCAGCAGGTTTCTAATTTAAAACTCTTCAATATGACTGTGAAGTGGTCTCTAGTCAATGCCGGGTTGTCTGAGAAGTTGGAAATACCGCTTAAGAAAAATGGGAAATCAACCTTCAGTTCCAAATTTCAGTCCCATCCTGAAACACTGGACACTTTTTGAACATTAGCCTTTAACAAAGAAACGAGAAATTCTCTTTTGCAATGTCACATGGATCCAACGTGTTTTAGGGAACCAGCAACATTGGCCGAAGATAAAAACTTTTACTGTTAAAAGCCAAGGAAGAGGCTGATGAAAACATATTCCTCAACCTAATAATTAGATCTGGTGGCTGGCAGATGAGTCGGTTCCCAGTCCTGACCCTCAGTCATGGGCCCCAATGACTGAGTAGACAGGGCTGCCTTGGTATTATGGGAGCCTACTGCTGAAGGGTATGGTGGGTCACCCCACTAGAAACATTCCACAGGAGGTCAATAAGAACCCTTTGACCTTCTTAGAAGGATTGAATGAATGCTTAAGACAATACACTAAGCCCTGCGGACGCAGGGAGTAACACCATCCTGAACACCTACTTCATATTCCCACGTGCTCCTGACATCAGTAGGAAGTTACAAAAGGTAATAGTGGGCCCTACCACTCTGACCTCCTAATAGCCAGAGGTGACCTTTAGGGTTTTTAACAGCAGGGATGTGGCAGAAGAAAGGAGGAAGAAGAAAAGATAAAAAGGCGTTTTCTGGCCATCTCTCTCCAGGCTTTGGGTAGCCTGGGGAGGAGAGGAGAAAGATCACCTTGGGTGAGTAACCCTGGCCCCCACCTTGGGACCAATCAAAGGTGTCCAGCAAAGCTGGAGTCTAACCAATGTACGTTTTGCAAACCAGAGGGACACTGGAAGAGAGAGGCCCCAAACACTCTGAGAAAGAAGGAAAGGGAAGCTCCCGATTCTTTGCAGTTGCCCCAGGTGGAAGGGGGGCACTGATGGGGCTAGGGCACCGCCCTCTTGCCTCCGACAGAAAACGTTTCAATCTCCCGTGAGAGACTTCAGCTTACTCCGGATACAGAAGGGGAGGAAATCAATTTCTGGTAGATGCTGGGGCCACTTACTCTGTTTTTACCACCTGGAAGGGCCCCCTTTCCAAGACAGAATATGATATGAAAGAGGTGCCAGGGAAGCCAGACACAGAAATCCTTTGAGCTTCTGACATGTGACGTAGGACTAAAACAGCTGTCATACTCTGTCCTCTGTGCACCCGAGTGACCTGTTCCTTTCTTAGGAAGGTGGGAAGGGGTCTACCAAGTTAGTTGGGGGCTGCCATCTATTTAGGTCAAAAAAAGTTGAAGTACTAATTCTCAGGGACAAAAAATAGAGTTCATGACCCTACTTCACCCAAATATCAGGAATCTATACCGCCAGAGATTCTCAATCAGGTTAATCCAGCTGTTTGGGCACAAGAAAAAGTTAGAAGGTTGAAATATGCCCTACCTGTTAAAATAGTACCACTCCCAGAAATTTTTGCCTTTGAAGGGGAAGATTCTGACACCCATCAAAAGTCCCAGTATTGCTGAACTGTGTTACACGCAGTTTTAAAAACTCCCCAACCCTCTTCGGGGACCTCCAACTCAAAGGTAAAGCTGTTCCACAATATGTAGATGACATTCTACTTGCCAGTCCTGGTAAAGAACTTCAGACAGGAGTACCAGCAGAAAAGGGATGCAAAGTATCCCAGAAAAGAGTCCAGATATCCAAACCAGAAGTACCTGGGTTTTCTTATTTCCCAAGGACAAAGAAGCCTGCATCCTAGTAAGGGGCAGGAATACCCAGTCTTGCTCCACCACACCTGAGAGGTTTTCTCTGAATGACAGGACTCGGTGATCTGAATCTCTAATTTTGGTCTTACAGTCAAGTCCCTGTAGGATAAATTGAAATGAGACCAGAGTAAGTCTACAGTGAGACAAAGGGTGCCAGAATGCTTCTGAGAAACCAAAGATCAAGGGAAAGGAAGCTTCTGCCCCGGGCTTACCTGATTTAGAGAAGCCATTTGAATTACATTGTATGTGCCTGAGACTCCAGGAATTGCCCCAGGGGATTGAGTTCATCTATGGAGCTTCCAAGTCAGGCTATTACCTTTTTTTCTTAAAGCAACTAGACACAGACATTGCCCGAGGGCAGTGGTTGCAACTTGCCTGTTAACCACAGAAGCAGGAAAAGTTAACAATTAAACAGTCTCTTAAGTATATGGACCTCTCATCAGGTGGTGAGGTTCCTGAAAGCAAAGGAGATAATTGGCTAACAGGAGGGGAATGATTCAATACCTGGCCATGTTCTTGGACAATCTGAGCATCACTATCAAAGTTGTCACACCCTTAATCCTGCTGCTCTATTTCCAGCCTCCCTTAAAAGTCCTAGATCATAACTGCTGAAATAATTATATTCTAGTAAGAACAAACTTAGGAGTGAACCACCAGCCAACTCAGAAGAAATATGGTTCACCGGTGGGAGCAATTTTATAGACAGGGGAGACAGGAGGGCAAGGTATGCAGTGACATCCTTGTTCACCACCACTGAAGCAAGAGCCTCCCCCCTGGACTTCTGCTCAAAAAGCTGAACTCACAATATTGGCCAGAGCCCTAGAAAATTAGGATAAAATTAAATTTGTAACTATATATCTTTAAAACACAAGATAGAGCTTCCTGCATATATCACTCTCAAGTGAGACCAGCTATACCACTGAGTGAGAACAAGGGACCAGATCCACAGGACTCTGGTGAGGCCTTGTCTGTCCTCAAGCTGCTTTTCAAAGGATAAATGATGTCGAACAAGTCTGCTCTTACCTCTCATGGTTTTTTATATCCTGTCTCTTTACATATTCTTTTACTCAGGAGTCCCACAACCTAGGGTACCCGAGACTTTGACAAGTCAGGCAGCCAGAGAATTGCACTGTAGCTGAAAGACCTATTCTGTCCACATTCAGCAGGAAGCATTTATAGAAGTATGATCCCATTCCCTCAAGAATGAGGAGTGGAAAACCTCAGGGGTGGGGGATTGTTAGACAGGACAAGGGTCTAAAGGTCTGGGCAGTTCTTACTAAATGCCATTCTTGCTAAATGTTAAAATGTACAACTGTATTTTGCAGATACAACTGTAATCGAATGAGCCTGACCAGAACCCAACCAAGGTTAGCCAACTGCAAAGAAGAAATCAGCAGGCAATTGACAAAATGGTGACTATAAGCCATGACTAAGCCTCCCTTTGAAGAGGCAGAGGTGTAGATATGACTCCAGTTTTCTTTACCTGCTGCAAGTAAATAGAACTACGTAATGACAGCCTCGTCTCATTCTTGAATAGAGCACCCGAGCTGCCATCCCCATGGGTTCAGTAGTGAAAGCACAGCAGAAGCACTTGGTCACTGAAGGTGTGTCCAGCGAGAGGGATAACAGGCTGTAGGAGGCTTGTCGCGGCCTTGTGTGGGTGGAGACCACTGCCTCGGAGGTGTGGCTGCTCCCCTATCAAGAGGTTTCCCAGTTTTCTATGGTTATGTTTCCAGGCTGGAGTCAACTATGTTTTAGTTGCAGCGGAAATGAGATTTTCTTCAGAGTGAAACATATACATATACTTTCCCTGCTCAGGTGTTACATGAAACAACATTTTTAAAAAGCCCTCCGACATCAAAGGGAAAGGTTGAGTACTAACAACACAGAGGTCAAAAGCCTGGGGTAGGTGACCAAGCATTTGGATTGTAAGCAAAACACTGGGCTTAGG